TCTGTGCTTTCAACTACTAAATGTGTTACAATTCTTTAGAGTCATGAAACCATTCTCTGAGCAGTGTACATGTGTTTTGCCTATTTCCACTTATTTCCAATTAGCTGCTTCACAGGGGTATCTATTTTTAAACAAGCTGCCAAATCTTTCATTGTGACGGCTGTAACTATCTACTTTATTAATTTACAATCTCACATTCAATCAATCTACCTGCAAATAGGATAACATAATTATTTTTCTCCCTGGTTAGATGGTGGAGAATGTAGGAAGGGAAAGGGATTCTGGGCTTGCTAATACTGACCAGGTGTTAGCAGACTTCTGAATTAAATCTGCCTTGGGTTTCCACCCTTGTGATATGTGCATCTTTGCACAATTCAATTATTTCGAATCATAGAATAGAATCATAGAATGGTTTGGGTTGGAAGGGACCTTTAAAGATTATCTAGTCCATCCCCCCTGCAATGAGCAGGGACATCTTCAACTTGATCAGGTTGCTCAGAGCCCCGTCCAGCCTGTCCTTGAATGTTTCCAGGGATGAGGCATCTACTGCCTCTCTGGGCAACCTGGTCCAGTGTTTCACCACCCTCATCATAAAAAATTTCTTCCTTATATCTAGTCTGAATCTACCCTCTTATAGTTTAAAACCATCACCTCTTGGCCTACTGCTACAGGTCCTACTAAAAAGTTTGTCCCCATCTTTCCTATAAGACCCCTTTAAGTATTGAAAGGCTGCAATAAGGTCTCCCCGCAGCCTTCTCTTCTTCAGGCTGAACAACCCCAGCTCTTTCAGCCTTTCCTCATAGCAGAGGTGCTCCATCCCTCTGATCGTTTTTGTGGCCCTCCTCTGGACCCGCTCCAACAGGCCTCCCTCGCCCTGCTGGCCACGCTTCTTTTGATGCAGCCCAGGATACGGTTGGCTTTCTGGGCTGCGAGAGCACGTTGCTGGGTCATGTCCAGCTTTTCATCCACCAGTACCCCCAAGTCCTTCTCTGCAGGGCTGCTCTCAGTCCCTTCATCCCCCAGCCTGTATTGATACCAGGGGTTGCCCCAACCCAGGTGCAGGACCTTGCAAGGTCCAATTTGAACATTCTGAGTTAAATAACAGGTTAAAAAAACCCAGGTAAAGTGTGGAAATGTAGTAAAATGAGAATCAATCACTTTGTAGTGGAATAGTCTATGAACAGTCCTCATAGAAAACATGTGGTATGTGGTGCAACATATGATTTATATAATTTTGAGGTCACCTCCTTTTTTGGCCCCTGAATTAAATGATCTGATCAAGGCAGGCAGCCTCCCCTTTCACAGGAATGCAGGTTACTTTCCACAACTGTTCCAATTGGGTATGTTTGGTATTTGTGTCAGCCTTTGACAAAGATGTCTGGTCACATTATGTATGGTGCAAGGAAAAATGATAAAGAAAGTTGCTAGAATAACAGTATGGAAAAATTGCTGTATTCTAGGGCTAAATCTTGTTTTTCAACTGTGCATACAGGGACCTTCTAGAAGTCACAGCCAGAAGGGGAAATGAAAGCCACTTGTGATCAGGGAACACCATCTCCTTCCCATACTGGGAGAGCTGGCTTTCAGCAAGACTTGCCATTCTAAGCTGGTGAGGCAAGAATGTGCTTGTTGGCAGGACGGACCAGCCTCACCCCTGTGTTATGCTAATTTCTGGCTTGAATAAAGGCATGTGTGCTCAAAACGTGAATGTAAGCTAGTGTTAAGTAGTGTTGTGGTAGTACATAGATGACCATCCTAGTGGATGTTGGTTTCTGTGTATCGTGGTACTAGATGAGCCATTATCGTAAGGATCTCCCAGGGCATGGGAAGAAGGATGTACTGGGATTTTTGTCCCCACATTATTTACAGGGCCTGATCCAAAGTCACTGACACCGGTGACTTTTGACCACTCCAGTGGTCTCTGACTACAACGAGAATTTCTAGGTGTCCTAGAAGGAAATGGTTTGATAAATTCATAAAGAAATGATCTCACTTCTCTGAAAGTGTGATTATTAGTGTCCCTACAAATCTGAACCTACATCCCGATTGCTCTGTCAAGTTCATGTTGAAGTATTTGCCTATTGTCTATACATGAATTTCTGAAGGACAAAAGAGATGTAGCTGTGTTGTAAGAGGATGAAAAGTGAAAACAGGATAAGCTTGTAAAATAAAGATTGAATTTGTAAGCTTGAAATCCATTGAACTCACCCAGAGCACAGTGCAATGCAAACCCCCTTATTCAAGGTCTGCTAGTTAAGTGTACCACAGCACTGTCATGATCCATCAAACCTGCCAGATAAAGAGAGGCTATTTTAAAATTTCTCCTTCAGGGCACGGGGAAGTACTGTTCTTGCGAAGACAGAAATTTATGATGATGCTAAAAAAAATGCAGATGAAGTGAATAATTAATGAATTCAAGACAAGACTGAAATATCTTCCTAAAATGTTGCTATTTTTAGCAGGGAGTGCTTCTGCAGTGCTTGTCATGTGATCCTATTGCCTTCTGAGAGCAGGAAAACAATTTGAATTAGTTTCCCTTTCCCCATGGACCTATAGGCCCACCATATAATACCCCTTAGCATCTGCTTCTGCCTTAAAGCAAACAAAGTGATTTTAAACCTCATGCAAAATAAAACACTAAGGAAAGCTCTACTTAAAGATAATCTTTATAGCAGCTGAATAATTTTTATAATAGTTTGGAGGCTGGGGCTGTACAAGGGGGCTACTGCAATGTGTCTAACTTTCAGCTGGTGCTGAGGTCCAGTAATATTCATTACTGCTGCAGGTTCTAGCTGTCAAAGGACATAAAGGCAATTATCAATAGGAGGTTGCAGGATCTGACCCATAGATAGGGATTTAATGTAAACAGATTTGTGCTTCTTTTCCCTATAACCAGTATGGAGTGTTGCTGTGTTTGAGCTACTTTGCACATTAAAAATGTTATAGTCAGAAACACCTCTAAAATAAATTGTTATATACAGCTGGCCTACGCACACACTCGTGTTTTGGCACACACTGCTCAGCTGGACCTGCAGGGAGGGGAGTCTCCTGGTTGAACTGCAGGAGAGGGTGCGAGGGATGGGACTGCCATCTTCTGCTCCACCGCAGGCTGCTCCTGCGACTGTGCAAGCCGCAGCCACCCGGGGCCACATAGGGACACGGCCACTGCTGTAGTGAATACTCAGGTGTTTAACGTCCCACACCTGGTCCTGTGTGCATTTCTCCTTCCTGAAGGGTGAAGAGGTTCCCAATGCCCATCAGAGAGAAAGTCAGAAGCTGCTTGCTTGCCGCCTTTCTTGCCCATTGGAGTTGCCACAGATTGAATTCAGAAGAAACCTCCAAATCCCAAACCTTTAAGCACTGAGGAGGACTCTGGCTTTGCAGCCCAGTACCCAGTTCGTAGGGGTGCAGAGGGGTGCTGGCTTGCTCTCCCCACATGTGCAGGGGTTGGTCTCCCCATGTGGGATGGTTCCTGGGTGACTCCTGTAAGGTGCGTAGGGCTCCTTGGACCTGGCTGGGACCCCGGTCCCCAACCCTGGCTGACTGCGGAGCTCTACCCTGGGAGCAGCATGCTTGCCATGCAAAGCAGCAGCAAAACATCTTGGCTGAAGCACATCACTTTGGGAAAGGGCTGTGAGTTGAGTCCCAAGCAGCAGAGGTGGCCCCATGGGTGCCTGCAACCTCAGGGCAAGCTGCAGGTTTTGGTGATCGTGGGTTTTGGGAAGCTCCTGGATTAAGCCATGGATGGTGGCTTCTTGGGGGGGCACTGGAGCTTGAGCTGTGGGTTCTTGGTTGTGTTCAGGAACACGTTTACAGCTTAGGTGCCGTAAATGCTTTGCTGCATCTGGGCCTTGGTCTCCATTTTCCCTTCTCTGTGTATCTATCTAAAAGGACTGTTTTAAGATTTAATGTCTGTAAAACACATGCACAGAAGTCTGTGTCACGTGGAGCTTTGTAATAATTAGAAATTGATCCTCAGCTGGAAGCTGAGTTTGGTAGATGTGAGTGCTATTCAAGTGAGAACTCTTGTTACAAAAAAATGCATTAAATTATCATTATTATATTTTTTGTGCCAGCTATTTCCAGGCTTATGTTTCCCAGCTTTCCATCAGCTCTGCCATGCTAGAGCTCATCACCTCTTTTCCAGTCTTCTTGCCCAGTCACTTGTGTGAGTCCTCCCTAAAAGGAATCCAGTTATCAGGTGGCTGCTTTTTAAGCAAACCCCATCTGTTTAGACCAAAAGGATGTAGAGGGGCACGCACAGGCTGAATAAGTGGGTGAACTGGAAGGAGTGGGAGTCTGTGGCAGGGGGATCTGATGAATGGTTGATGTCTTCAGTGGGTCCCGTCAGTAGGACAGGACATGAGGACAACCCTAGTAAAGCAAGCCTGGAGGAGTTTCCTCACCTAACTTCATCTCAGCACATGGGGTTTGTGCTCCTGTTTGAAGCTGTCTTGGGTTGTGGTTCTGTGATACAAATAATAAATCAAATGAAGGGTAGTAAATTGTATCTTTTTAAATTAATGAAATGCATCAAGTTCTTCATGCAATGAAAGGACACAGAGATTTTAAGGCTCTAAATTGTGTTATAGTCCTGCAAACCAGTTCTAGTTTTCTTTATTTATCTCTGTTTGTTTGAATGCCTGCACTCACAATTGAAGCAATTAGTTATACAAGTCCAGTAGCATCTTGTGAGCTGCTTGGGAATGATCAGAAATTAAAATACCTGTTTTCAGTTTTGTTGTTGCTGTTTTGATTTGGGCAATGAGGCTTTTGGAGAACCATTTTTGCTTCACATAGAGTTATCCACCCTTGTGACTGCTTAATAAAATACCCAGCCATACAGCTTTACTTAGCTAAAACTGGGACTATTGACATGGTTCATTTTGCAAATTGAGCAAGGAGGTACTGATTTCAAGCCGTGAAAATAGTAATTCTTTTAAAAATAGTTTATTTTTGTGGCTATCTATCTCCTTACTGCTTTTCTTTTCTTTCCATAGGAAAAATTAACCCAGGAGTGTGTATTCAGAGAGCAGTTTGAAGAAAACTGGTATAACACATATTCGTCAAATCTATATAAACACGTGGACACTGGAAGACGATACTACGTTGCGTTAAATAAAGATGGGACTCCAAGAGAAGGGACTAGGACTAAACGGCATCAAAAATTTACACATTTTTTACCTAGACCAGTGGACCCTGAGAAAGTACCGGAACTATATAAGGATATTTTAAGCCAAAGTTGACAAAGACAATTCCTTCACTTGAGCCCTTAAAAAGTAACCACTATAAAGGTTTCATGCGGTGGGTTCTTATTGATTAGCTGTGTCATCACATCAGCTCCACTGTTGCCAAACTTTGTCGCATGCATAATGTATGATGGAGGCTTGGATGGAACATGCTGATTTTGTTCTGCACTTAAAGGTTTGTCCTCCTGGAGGAGAGCCTATGCCCACTCGCTTGATTTAGTACGAGAGGGAGCGCGAGAGAGTGAGTGCGAGAGAGAGAGAGAAAGGGAGAGGATGAATGGGAGTGAGAGCGTGAGAGAGAGGAGCCAAGGGGAGGAGGAGGAAGGCCTGATGCATGCTGGGGAATAGACACGCTTTTAAATTTTTGATCAGTTGTACTTCGTCATATATCAGCATAGCTGCCATACTTTGATTCATCAGGATTTTTGGCTGGTGGCCTGCTCAAGTGTACGCTGCATTTTACAAAGGCATGGAGGGTGCAGTCTTACTTAAACAAGAGACTTTTCAGTTAATCGCTCTCTGGGTCTCACCCTACTGAGTTTAAAGCAAAGACCTCTTAGTAAAAAAAAATAAAAATAAAAAGTTAAATTTATTTATAGAAATTCCAAAGGCAACATTTTATTTATTTTATATATTTATTTATTATATAGAGTTTATTTTTAATGAAATATGTACAGGCCAGATAGGCATTTTGGAAGCTTTAGGCTCTGTAAGCATTAAAATGGCAAAGGCCACTATGAACCTGTGGTAAATTCATGCAAGTAAATATAAAGGTGCATGGATGAAAAAAAAAACCAATAAAAAGGTAATAATAATAATAAATTCTAGTGACCCTCATGTACGAAAGGCGACAATCTCTTTTGTGCCCATATTATTGTACAAGTATGCACACCACTCATGACACTGAGTCCTCACTCTTCTGACTGCTTGTTTCATAGCTTACCCCCAGAGGATTAAAGAGAAAACTGGGTCTTCAACTTTTTTTCTGTGTCTGTAATATTTCCTCTCTGATAAAGTGACTTCTTACATCGTTGTAAACTTCACAGCTGTGGAAAATATAGGGGTTGGAATATATTCTAGTTGTTAAAACCTATTGCAGATTATACCAAAGCTAAATGATAAATATGCTTTTTTTTTTTCCCCTAAAGCAGAATGCCAGAAACAACATAAGTAATATCAACAATTGTACTAATTTTAAGATTCCTCAAATAGCACATAATGGTTTCAGAGGGCAAGAACCAGGTTAACAGGATCACTCTTGTAAACATGTTTATTTGTGCACTTGACTATCTACTATGAAATTATACAAGTTCCATAGGGGTCATTGTAACATCTTTTATGGAAAATTGCTTTCAGTGTGAACTGTCATAGTACATGATATTAGCACCCTTCCTAAAGTAAAACTTGCAAAATGAAACTAATAAATCTCTATCAATAATGACAATGAGGGGGACAGTATTAGACTTGTTTTTTTTTTTTCCTAAAATATGTTCAAATATTCATGAACTGTGAGTGAGCTTACAGTATGTAATATTTAAGGAATTGCAGCATTTTTTGTTAAGCACACAAACATGTTGATAAGCAGTTACCACTTGGGAATTAACCCTTAGGAAGAAGCATTTATTCCCCAGTACCCTGAAGGAAAAAAAAAAGAGAGAAAAATCACGTAAGGTCCATATGACAAATGCATTTTGTAGTTGGTGTATCCCTTAGGATTTGAATCTGGTGCTATTAAGTTGAGTGTAACCTTTGCCATTGGATCTGTCGGGAGCGAGGCTGGTCCTGACACCCCTGGCTGTCCGCAGAGGCACAGAGGCTGAGCGGAGATGTACTTTGGAGGAGCTATACATAAGTTTGTAGGCTATTAGTAATTAAGTAATTTTTGCTCTAAGGCACTCTTGTCCATGTGATATATATTATTTGAAACGTAATTCTGTTTTGGAATAACCTCTGGCTTGGTGTCCTGAACGAATGTGACCTTTCTGTACTTGAACAGGTAGGAGGGGCCACATCTCAACTGGCGATATCAGTAACCTTAAATAAAATGTGACGTTTTATTATAATTGTTCTTGAATGATAAAGATATGTAAATTATGTTAGTTGATTTGTAGGGTACAATTAGACATACTTGTCTAGGGACTGTTATTGCCTGGGAATTTACAGCCTTTGACTGCAGCCCACGCATTTATTTTTAACCCTTTGGAGCTGCTGAGCCCTGCAGGCAGTTTGGCTGCTGTGGGTTAACCAGGTGCTGAATCACTGAATCCAGGCAGTGCAAAGCCATGCGGGACCATAGGACGAGAAAACGAGCTTCTGGGGAGGACTAGGGTTTGTTGCTCAGTGTTAACCAAATCAATTCTACCACAAGGAAGGGAGGTTACAACTCTCTGCTTTTTCAGTAAATCTGACATACTCCGGGAAATTAACTGCAAAGGTTAAAAATACTATGAGTTGAAGCCACAATATTAGGCCACGGTTTCAGTCTTAATGTTAAATCAACTTGGATTTTTAGTCATAGGCAAATCATTACTACTAGTTAATATGTTTTATTTAATTTATTTTTTTGTATTTTTCTAAAGAAAGGATTAAACCCAAGAAAAATGTTATGAGTTTATGGCAGTCCATATAAATAAACTGTAACCAATTTACTCGAATAACCCATAATGGTGTGTAAATACTGACTTTATGTAAATACAAAACCATGTAATTTAACATAGGCATTATTGCGAGACTGGATGGTCCAGGAGCTGGCAGTTTGCCACTCCCTGCGGGTTCACTGGGTCAAATTCAGCCTGTTTTGGGTAGCAAACAACAGATTCTGTTCAGTCACTTGTGTAAAATGAGTTATTTCTGTTTGTTTTCTGGCGGGGGATGGGCAAAACCATTGTCACCTGGGTGCTGCTTAGCTCCTTTGCCAAGGCGTGAAGGGGTATGCATGCCCTCCCACTCCTTACGTGATCCTGCTAAAACAGGGCTGGAGAGAGCTGACATGGCAAAGTGGGGAGGCTTGCAGTGCTGCTCCTCCTGTGCCGTGGACAAACAGAAGTCTTCATTTTCTAGTGCTGTCCATCTGGCACCTTTCTTGAGCACTAAAATTCACTTGAAGAAAAATCTGAGGGAAAAACAAAAGAACAATTGGTGTTATTTACTTGATATTCTGTAATGGTGTGTAAATACATACAGAATTCTGTAATTTGTATAAATACATTGCTATAGAATTTTGAAAATTGGTATTATTTGCTTGATGTCCCTTCAGAGCATTTTCTTATAACCATACACATGTGTAATAATGGGATGGCAAAAAGATGTCCTTTCTTATTCCTAGAAAGGGCGTGAGAAAATTCCAGGAAGACCAAAACAGTCAATATTTTCTACATCTTTTTGCTAAATTGGAAAAAAGCGGGAGGGTATCTTTTCGGCAAGAATTGCATTAGCATTTCACCTGAAGCACGTCTATCTGGGTGAGCAACATGGGCAAAAAGGTGGTGGAGATCCAGAGCAATGTTATTGTATGGGCTGATTTTGGGCTGCATCTACTAACGTGTCAGGCAGCGCTCCCAAACTTAAGTGGAGTGGATGAAACCTAGCAGATCTGGGCAGTGGAGAGAATGGAAAGAGAAAAATCAGAGGCAAATTGTCTTAAATTGTCACCAATCAGTGCAGAACTTTAACGGCCTACAAACTGGAGGGAAAAAAGACACCTTTCCTAAATGACTGGGTGTAACATGTGGAGGCTGGAGATGGGACTCTGTGGTGTAAAAAGTCAAGCATTGCTATTGTCCCCCTGGAAAAAGATAAATGTGTATTTAATAAACACACAAATATGAGGGAGTTGAAGAGTCTGCTCCCAAGGCAGTCTCTAAGTTTCTCTGGAGACAGAATATGGCAGGAGGTAAGAGAAGATGCATCTGCAGCATGTCTTTCAGAGTCCCTTGCATCATCTTCTTAGCTTATGCTCTTCTCTGCATACTCTTCTATCAAATAAAGAAGCAAATATAAGGTCTAGCTCTGTTAGCCATGATTATAGAGGAGTAGAAAGAGGTGGGCTGTGAGTCATGCTGAATACCTTTTTGTGTGAATTCCTGTCCCAGCTAATGAATTCTCACAAGGTCCCTGTGAGGTACATTAGCAAACATTAGCAAACATGGAGACAGGGATATGGCCAACTCCTTACAACTGCGGTTTGTTTTGCAGAAATGCAAGGTTCCGGATTCTTTGAAATTTTGACAAAATCTTGGAAACTCAGCCACTGCTCCTGTAGCTGTGTATGTGTAGGCAGCCGTATTTGGTGGCAGGGAGTCTGGGGGAAGAAGTAACCAACAAAATCGTCCTCAATGTTTTTTTCCACACGGCATACCATTTACCGATCTGAGAATAGAAACCAGAAGACTTCTGTTTTCCAGACTTTTATCTCTGAGAACTGTGAGCTCTCCGTGGGTTTCTCACAGGTCAATTCTGTCCTGCCTTGGTGTTACCTTTCACCTACCATAACACTAAAAAGTAGTTTTGCCATCTGGCCCCTAAATAAGTACCTGTAGTATAACCTTATCTCCTTTTGTCAAGAAGCTGGACTGCCTTGCCCTAGAGTTGCTGCTGAACAGCTTGACATTGTGAAGTGAGCAGGGCATGGCTAATTAGCATCTAAAATTTAGGATTTATAAAATTTAGCCATCAAGGATAAAAAAGGCAGGCAGTGATTAAAAACAAAGAAATGCTATTGCGCAAGGTGTCTTGTCAGCTCAGTTGTGTGCTTGACATGAAGTTTGAAAGCAGAAAATGCTTTTTTTAATGGTCAGGAAATTTAAAATGAGAATAATAATCAAGTTCCACCTGCAAAGAAGTTTATAAAACCCAGTCTTGTTGCCTTTTTCCCCAGTGGCTATGTATCTTCAATAGCTTGTGTGCATTTTCTTCTACCTGATGATATTGGAAAAGACTCTTTTATTTTTCATTCATTACTTCTGAAGTCCAGCTGTCTTTGTATAATTTTTCAGAGCTATTCTGGTCTGAACCCCAGGGCAGGAAAGTCACCATGTGATCCTGGGTTAGGACAGGGGATCACATGCATTACAAAGATGCTGCTGTTGCGCTCAGAGTAGCTGGTATAGTCCATAGGATCACCTTGTCTTATTGTAACTATCACACAGAGAGCTACAACATTATTTGTTCCTTAATACATTTTATGCTGTTGTTATCATAGGAGAGAGCTTTTCAAATGATCCTCAAGTCATGCAGGCTTTATTAAACCCATATCTGTCTCTTGAACACACACTCACAAATATCCTGTCATGGAGAGCAGTGTAGAAAGTAGAATTTAGGTCCATATTGCTTAGTGATGCAGAGGGGTTTCACCTCACAGCAAAAAAAAAAAAAAATTCCTTTTTTCTTTACGTCGAGGGAAGTTATTTTTATGTGCAGTACTCACAAGTAGCAAATACAGCATAGTCAAAAGAATTCTGGAATTAGACTGAACTGTCAACATGTTTCTCACATTTCTGTTTTCTTGAGAAATCACAGACCATCAAATTATGGTGATATGCAAAATATGCCCTGTAGATTTTTTTTCCATGTCCAGAGGGCCTGGATTTACATATATCTTACT